TCCCTGTTAGTCTCGTTTCCCTACAGTTCTTCCTAATAGAGTTGCTATGCGTTTACATTCTTCAATGACATGTCCCATCCACCCCTTAGCAAGGCTCACTCCAGGTCTGGCCCAGCCTGCCTTCCCAGCCCCACATCTAGAGTTGTTCCATTGCTGGCACCATGCTGAGAAGACAGCTCTGGAGCTCTCCAGTGCACCTGTGCCCTCCCACATCCAGGACCCTCTGCCTGGTGCGTCCTGTTTACCCTTGCCTCTGTCAGCCAGGCTTTGTTCAAAATTTTCTTCTGCAAAACCTTGCTGATATCTCAGAGAGTCACTCTTCCCTCTGTCAGGCCCATGTGGCACAGATTCTTTATTTTGTTTGTCTAACATATGATGGAAAAGGTATAAAGTTAAAATTAAAGCTTATTAAGTTCCTTTTTAATAGCACATACACTTTAATAGCTCTGAAATCAGAGGGTGTCTTCAACAGGCAGTACCTGATGATGGTTCTTAATTTTTGCTGAAGTATACCCAGAGAGGATTTATGTTTGCTTTCCTCAGTTACATGGGGCAGCACCTTCCCGAGTCTGTGTGGAAGGCAGCCTCCTAGATGACACTTTTCCCTGTCTCCTAGCATTCATGTCCCTGCGTAATCCACTCCCCTTGAGTGTGGGCTGGACCTCTCAACTTGCTTCCAATGAATAGAATAAAGCAACAGCCTGCGTAATCCCCTCCCCTTGAGTGTGGGCTGGACCTCTCAACTTGCTTCCAATGAATAGAATAAAGCAACAGCGATGGAATGTTTAGTTACCAAAGTTACCAAAAGATTGTTGTCTTTTTTTTTTTTTTGATACTGGGGATTGAACCCAGGAATACTCAACCATTGAGCCACATCCCTAGCCCTTTTTATTTTGAAACAGGGTCTCCCTAAATTGCTTAGGACCTCAATAAATTGCTGAGGCTGGCTTTGAACTCGAAATCCTCCTGCCCCAGTCTCCCGATTATAGGCATGTGCCACCACACCAAGTGACGGCTGTCTTCTTGCTAGCACTAAACATACTCATGCTTGCATGCTCCCTCTCTTTTTCCCTGAGCCTTGCTCTGATGGAAGTAAGCAGGTTTAGACGTCAGTATAGGTTTGCAAGTATACCATAGGGTCATTCCAGGCAGAGGGACTCTGGGTCCAAAGGTGCATAGGCTTTTTTAAAAAATATTTTTTAGTTATGCATGGACACAATATCTTTGTCATGTTTATGTGGTGCTGAGGATCGAACCCAGTGCTTCACATGGGCTATGCAAGCACTCTGCCACTGAGCCACAACCCTAGCCCCTGCATTCACTTTTAATTTTGACAAATGTCCCAATTATCCTTTACTGAATTATACTGAGATGTATCTCATAAGAATGCCTTTCCCCACTTTTCTCCTTTTACCAGTATCATCCATCTTTCTGATATTTGATAGTTTGATAGATGAAATAATGTTTTAATTTAGCTTTAATTAATAAAACAGAATGAGCATTTAAAGTTTTCTCTTTTTTTTTTTTTTTTCTTTTTTCAGTGCTGGGTATTGAAACCAGGGCCTTGCACCTGCTAGCCAAATGTAACTCTACCTTGGAGTTGCAGGCCCAGCTCCAGGTGTTTTGGCCATTTGTTTTTCTCCCTATACCTTTGCCCATTTTATTTTTATTATTTTTTTAAATTTATGCATGACAGTGGAATGCATTACAATTCTTATTACACATATAGAGCACAATTTTTCACTTTGCCCATTTTAAAAGTAGGTAATTTTTTTTTAATTTTTAATTTTTTTATTGGTTGTTCACAACATTAGAAAGCTCTTGACATATCATATTTCATACATTAGATTGAAGTGGGTTATGAACTCCCAATTTTACCCCAAATGCAGATTGCAGATAAAAGTAGGTAATTCATACTTAATACTTGAAGGAAAAAAATTCCTTATGCATCTGAATGTTTTGAATCATTTCTTCATAAAATAAGAAAATAAAAAAAGGCTTTTTTTAAGCCTTTCTTAACATTCAGGCAACTAAATAAGCAAATAAGTAGAACATAACAGAAGCCAGATTTCTCAATGCTGAGGAAGGCAGTTACAGAAACAAAAGAGGTGAAGCTACAATGAACCCTACTGGACTGAAATTGGATGTGTTGATGTGAGCTCATGGTCTTTTACAAGGGCAGCTATAGAAAAGAAAATTTCTTGCCCTTGAATGCAGACTAGACCTGGTGGTTTGCTTCTAATCAACAGAATGTGAGGAAATTATGCAAGGAGTCCTCCAAGGCTGAGTGCTAAAAGGAAATAGCATTCACCGTGTTCTTTGGCTCTTACTGGGCATCTTCACCTGAACCTCTGGCCAACACTTCAACAGAGCTAAAACCTGCCTAATTTTGATACCTTATTAGTCACTTCTCTGGACTTTCCCATCTCTGAGAAGTGTCCAAGCTCAGGAGCCTTTGTGTCCTCCTCTCGTTCTTTCCACATCAAACCAAGAATTCTTTATATTCTCATTGCATTCTGTCCACTAGATTCCAGACCCAGGTCCTTCAGATTTGCATTGTCATTTAGTCATCTCCACTTACCTCCTACATGCTCCTCTTCAGTAACCTAATTCTACAGGAAAGTCCTCGAGCAACACCCCTATCAACCATTATTGCCTTCAACTATTTATCACTGTGTTACTTAAGACCATGTAGAAACACAAAACTAGCCATTGGCTCTTGAAGCTTTCATTTGATGCAAAACAAGTTTACAAATCAAATGAAAACAACAGTTCAAAACCAATAAAATTCAATGAACATTTAATGTCAGATGCTGTTCTGTGGACCACACTACAATCTCAGTGGTTTTCTGGACTTCTGTGTGCCTATGCTACTACAGGAACTGATGGCCACTTTTCTCACCATTTGCCTCAACTGGAACTTTCATGATACCTTGGTTAGTACAGTCAGTCACCAGGGAATTGGCTATCCCTTCACATAGGCACACCATTTGGGTATTAATTCTTCCTCTATTATCATCTTAGGACAAAGCAACTTGGTTCCCTAAATACAGAGGCACATATGGGCAATGAAACCATGAAACACACAGCTTAAAATAGTTACCTGGATAAGTCTGAACTTTCTTAGATTAAAATTGCAAATATTCATTTGTGAAGGGATAAATAAGATAAGATGTACAAATGGAATATTATTCAGGCTTAAAAGGGAAGAAAATTCTGACAACATGAATGAACCTTTATGACATTGTGATGAGTGAAATAAGCCAGAACCAAAAGGACACACATGTCTGACTTTACTTATATGAGGCACCTAAAGTAGTCAAATTCTGAGAGACAAAGCAGCATCCTGGCTGCCAGGGGGTTAGTGTCAGGGCTCAGAGTTCCACTTCTGCAAGACGAAAAGAGATCTGTGGATGGATGATAATGATGGTTGCACAATGTGAATATATCTATTGCTACTGAACTGTACACTTAAAATGCTTAAGATGGCAAATTATATGTGCATTTAACCATAATAATAATTTTATTATCATCAGGTGAAAAAATTTTTAAATCCTTGCCGAGGACTCAGCAACTCAGAATATTTCTGGAGACCTTCCTCACCCACAATCCAGGTTGCTTTAATCCATTCTCCCCCATACCTGAACCAACCCTGGAATCCTAACAGGAACCTTCCTACTTTTCACCAGTCCTCACTATTACTCTCAACTTCTTGACACGAACCTTCGGCTCTGGCTATTGGTATCCACCACCAAACTCAACATACACCCTCATTTCTCTGCCTTGATTTACATTTGCTTTGATTAGCTAATCCTTCCACCCCATTAGGTCACTCTTCCTCCTCCTCCCACAGGGACTTCTTCCCATTTAAGGGTATCATTAAGACCAATCTGGCATTAGTCACACATTCTAAATTATTTTATCACATATGCTCCCAATCATTCAACAAATATTTATTGATCATATGCCATATATATGACAATATGCTATGCCCTGAATGAAGGGCTAACTTTTCTGCTTTTTATTTCTCTCATAGCCACTTATATATCTCACAAACACAAATGTTTATGCAGTGGATTGAATGATGTCATACGGGTCTGAACTATCATATTCCACATATGGACAATACATTTTAAACTATTGAAATCAAGAATAGTGTCATCTCAGGACTTCTTTGAAATAATAGGATGTTTTGTTGTTGGTAGTAATTTGTTTTTTGGACCAATCTTTTTTTTTTTTAACAAATTTTTTTTTTAAAGAGAGAGTGAAAGAGGAGAGAGAGAGAGAGAATTTTTTAATATTTATTATTTTTTAGTTCTCGGCGGACACAACATCTTTGTTGGTATGTGGTGCTGAGGATCGAACCTGGGCTGCGCGCATGCCAGGCGAGCGCGCTACCGCTTGAGCCACATCCCCAGCCCTGGACCAATCTTAAGAAGCAGCTGTTAATACCAAAAAGGTTTCAGGAATTAATTCAACAGGTATTATACACTAAAAGAACCTACCCTTGGGGCTGGGGTTGTGGCTCAGTGGTAGAGTGCTCTCCTAGCACATGCGAGGCCCTGGGTTCGATCCCCAGCACCACATAAAAATAAATAAACAAAATAAAGGTATTGTGTACAACTAAGAAATAAATATTTAAAAAGAGCACCTACCCTCATTTTTGGAAGCTTCCATAACAACATCTGCAATATTACTTGATCACGAATACCTGTGATCACAGGAATACTAGAACAGGTACTTCCTTAAAAGTGTTCCATCAGCCCAGTGTGGTGGCAAACACCTGTAATACCAGCGGCTCAGGCATTGAGGCAGGAGGACAGCAAGTTCAACACCAGCCTCAGCAACTTAGCAAGGCCCTAAGCAACTTAGCAAGACCCTGTCTCAATATAAAAAAATTAAAAAGGGCAGGGATGTGGTTCAGAGCTTAAACACCTCTGGGTTTAATCCTGGTAGAAAAAAAAAAGTGCTCCTTGAATATGATTTACCTAACAGACATCTGCACAAACATAAAAAACTTTATTCACATGTTAGGACAGTGTTTGAGTAGGCACAGTTTTAAGAATGCTTAATACAATTTGTTTATTGAACTCAGAGTTGAGTCTTTGGAAAATTATATTCAAGCCTAAGGATTTTACTTACAGAATTCTGTATGTGGCTCACACTTCTTTCTACACAAAGGTAAAATAATATCTGTATTTGCTTAATTCCCATTATTTTGTTGTTTCAACATGACTTGGTACACTCAGTCATTTCAATGTTAGTCAAAGATTATATTTTTTTCATTCTCAGCTTTTTTTTTGAGCTTCATTTTCTCTCTTTATGTTCTCGAGTGTAACTTCGAGGTGCAGAGTATTCATTACCAAGATCCACGACAATTACTTCCCTAGAAAATGTCACTCCTTTTAAAGGTCTTTTTGAGTTTTCAACATCTGAAGAAACTCTATTGAGAGGTAGGTGTGTTATCTTCAACTTTTCACCCTACAGAGAAATGGCACAAGTAGTATAAGTGATCAATTTATGAACATGACAAGTCCTGCTTTTAAAAATATAGGTTCTGTGTACATTGTGAATGAGACACAGAAAAGGTATTTCTAAATGATGTAAGAAAGCAACAATACTGAATAATATTCCATTGTGTATATATATCACAGTTTATTTATCCATTAATCTACTGAAGGGCATCTAGATTGTTTCCACAGTTTAGCTATTGTGAATTGAACTGCTATAAACATTGATGTGGCTGCATCACTGTAGTATGCTGTTTTAAAGTCCTTTGGGTATAGACTGAGGAGAGGGTCAAATGGTGGTTCCATTCCAAGTTTTCTTAAGAATCTCCACACTGCTTTCCAGATTGGTTACAGCAATTTACAGTCCCACCAGCAATGTATGAGTGTACCTTTTCCCCCACATCCTCGCCAACACTCATTGTTGTCTGTATTCTTGATAACTGACATTCTGACTGTCATGAGATGAAATCTTAGAGTAGTTTTGATTTGCATTTCTCTAATTACTAGAGATGTTGAACATTTTTTCATATATTTGTTGATTGAATGTGTATAAGTGAATGCTGATCCATAATGGGGGGACATGGAAAAAATGGAGGAACTTTGGGCAAAGGGGAGGGGAATGAGGGCAGGAAAGATGGTGGAATAAGGGGCTGGGGTTGTGGCTCAGCTGTAGAGTGCTCACCTGGCACATGGGGGACCCTGGGTTCAATCTTCAGCACCACATATCAAATAAATAAATAAATAAAATAAAGGAACTGTGTCCAACTACAACTAAAAAATAAATATTAAAAAAAAGATGGGGGCTGGGGTTGTGGCTCAGCGGTAGAGTGCTTGCCTAGCACAGGCGAGGCCCTGGATTCGATCCTCAGCACCACACAATAAATAAATAAATAAGATCAAGGTATTAAAAAAAAAAAACGATGGAGGCTGGGATTGTGGCTCAGCCGTAGAGTGCTCGGCCTCGCATGTGCGGGACCCTGGGTTCAATCCTCAGCACCACATACCAAATAGATAAATAAAATAAAGATATTGTGTCCAACTATAGCTACAAGATAAATATTTAAAAAATTATTTAAAAAAAGATGGTGGAATGAGATGGGCATCATTACCCTAGGTACATGTGTGACACTGTATTGTGTACAACCAGAGAAATAAAAAGTTGTGCTGCAATTGTGTACAATGAATCAAAATGCATTCTGCTGTCGTACACAACTAATTAGAATAAATAAATAAATTGATTAATAAAAAGAAAGCAACAATAATCCATCATGATCACATTTTTATATTTCTGTGGTTGTAAAAATCTACATTGACACAAAATTATTTGATAACATATATTACTCTCTCTATAAAACACCCAGGAGCCACAGTCATGTGATAGGAAGGCATGTGCCTATTGTCATTTGGGGTCCTGAATATGAGCTTACCAAAGGTCTGGCAATCTCTGTGCTGCTCGGGTAGAGCTCAGAATTAGAGCAGGGCCACAGGAGCTGGTCCTGGGTTTGGCCACAGTGGGGAAGTGAATAATTTGTTTATTTTTGTTGTGTGGTGGTGGGGTTTTTGTTTTGCTTTTTTTTTTTTTTTTTTTTTTGAGTGTAAAAGAGTAGGATTTAGTCAAGTGAGAAGAAAAGAGACAGAACTCCTGCAGGGTGAGAGAGGACCCAATGGGGGTTGCCCTTTGTCTCATGTTTTCATTTGTAACACAAGAACCTTGGATCCCTAGATGACCTACAAGATTTCTTATAGCTATAAAATTCTAGGAGCCTAAAAATAAAAGAAAATGAAAGGGAATTATGAACAAAAACACAAATGTAAGAATGAAGAATGAGCTGGGCACAGTGCCCCATGCTTATTATAATCCCAGGTACTCAGGAGACTGAGGCAGGAGGATTGCAAGCACAAGATCAGCCTAGGCAACTTAGCAAGACCCTGTCTCAAAATAAAATAAAAACAGCTAGAGATGTAGCTCAGTGGTAAAGCACCTGTGGGTTCAGTCCGCAGTACCTGGGTGGGGGAGGTGAGATTGAAGAATGAGTGCACTTCTAGGCTTGGCATATGCAACTGGTTTTAATATGAAATGAGAGTTTAGGAGAATGGTTTAAATGACTAGACACTAGACTCATTCCAAGTATAAACCAAAGTTACAAGAGATGTCATCCCTTGTTATTATACCTGGCTGAGTAATTTTCCATCTCTTCAAACTAAAGCTAAACCTTAGGAGTAGAAAAAGCACATCACCTCTTGATCAGTTTCTCCAGCATTCCCAGACACTTGCTTCTTTTTCATTTTGTCTCCCTCCTGTGCCTCCGTGTCCTCTCTGTTTTCTAAGGATGTGGCCACCGCTTCCTTATTCCGTCTCTGGACAAGAATGCCGTGCCTCACTGGTTCATTCATTCCCATGATTTCCATTATGACCCTGGAAAAATCAACCAGCAGGGTTTTAAAAATCCATGCATCCTAGTCAACATTATCATCTACAAAAGTGATTTTCTACCGCATCCTCAGGTACAGACTTTTCTTGGCCTCCTGTATTATCCTCCACATTAGCAGGCGAACAATCTTCACCTCCGTTAGCATCTGTACAAGGAATTTTTTCTGTCTCTTCTCTCTTGCCTTGAAAACTGAAAACAAATAAGCAAAAAATTCAGAAAAGGAAAAATGACCCTGATTCTGGCTTGGGAATTTCACTTTAATAGGAAATTAGCATTTCTAAAACCCTAAAATGGAAAACATACATAACTGCAACATTACTTCTTCTATTTTGTTTTATATCATTTCTAGATACATATGCTAGTGTGACTTGAAATCTGATCCCAACTTATCAACATGGATTTATACCATTTATATAAAAAAACCACCAATAAAAGGAGGATGCAAATGAGGCAAATTAGAAGGATGATGAAGAAAGTGAATGCTGTGGCCTCAAAGCTAATACGGTTGCCAGCCGATATGTCCACTTTCACAACCATAGATTCCCCAAAGCCTTCTCCAGCTCAGTTTGAATGTAGTTCTTTTGTTCTTTAAGTTTTCTAGAAACAGAAGGAAAAAAAAGGCTGATTTCATTGTTGTTCTTTTGATCAGCTGAGCTTCATAAAAGACACTCTGCTTGTGTTGGTGTGACTCACACTGGCTAGTTTCTCTCCATAAATGTGGTGGGGGCTGAGGTGGACAGAGGGGAGACTGAGCTGGGACCTGTTGATCACTCAGCTCACCTCCCCTCACCCCAAAAATTATCTGAATCCAGAGGGGAGAGGAACTGGAGCAGCTGGAGCCAAGCCCAGCTCCCATTCTTCTCTCTTCAGTGACATCACAGAATCATGGAACTACTGAGTTAGAGACCATTGCCTGGCATCAGGCGAACCACTCAACTCTCCTCCGAGGTGCTGCTTGTCTGTGTTCTCTTCTGAGAGGTCCAGCATGGAGACCGCATTCACTGTCTTGACAAAGATTTTCTTCCTGGTCTCCAAACACTGTCTTTCCATTCCCAACCTAAGCCTGACGCTCTTATTGCTTGTTCACGGACTGGAGCAACTGGCCCACTTCCTTCTTACAAATCCCTTCCATATCCTCAAGATCAGTAATGAACCCTACCTCTAACGGTGCTCTCTCCAGCCTGAATAGCCCATCTTCTTCCAATCCCATCTCTCTGGATCTACTTCCTGGATACACCAGAAAACTGGCAGCTCTGAAGGCTATGGCTTGAGGCAACAGCAGTAGAACAAGATGATCAGAGTGAAGATGAACCCTGGCCCTGATCTAACTTCAGGTAAGAGCAAGTGACACCATGGCAAGGAAGGAGAGGACAGAGGGAGGACTTTCTGAGAAGGAAGATACTTACTCTTCATGGTGCCAGAATGATGTTAATAGTCCAAATCTGCTCCCATGTCATGAACATGTATTAGGTTGTTTGTGAGAAGATGGAAACATTTTATATTGATCTACTAGTGGCTACAAAGGTATATGCTATATTAAAAAAAACATTTCATGCCCTTTACTATGTGATATTAGAACTCAACACACAGGAAAATAAGGCCAATCCTCAGCCTGAGTTTGAGTCTGCAAGTTGGTTCTGTCTCCAAGATTTACCAGAAACATTGGGAGATGGGAGACCTGTAACAAATACATAATAGAAACAACTCATAGGATTGGTTACACTGAATCATAAGGGCTTTCACTGAATGTGGCTTAGGGAATCAATATCTTAAATTTATATGTATGGTTAACATAATTCTGGAAAATGGAGTGTTATACAACTTTGGTCTCCAAATCACATTTTAAATGCACTGGACTGTAAGCTCTGTGTGGTCATGGGGTCTCACTCAGAGACAGATCTCCAGGCTCCAACAAAGCATTCCTGGCACAGAGATGTTTGCTACAAATATTATTTGTGGTGGGACATTATAATTGATTTAGCAGAAATGTAAATGGATTATAAAAGAATACTATGAACCAACCACTATATGCTAAAATATGGAATAACTTAAATAAAATGAAAGTATTCTGAAAAACACAAAACCTATCAAGACTAAAACAGAAAGAAATAGAAAACCTAAACAGACCTATAATGATATTTGAGTCAATTATCAAAAACTTCCCCATAAATAAAAGCCCTAAGTGACATAAAGTCACTTGGGAACTCTACCAAACATTTAAAGAACTAATGCTAATCTTTTTCAAACTCTTCCCAAATATTGAAGAGGGAATACTTTTTTCTTTTCTTTCTTTTTTGGTACCAGGAATTGAACTCAGGGGTACTTAACCACTGAGCCACATCCCAGCCCTTTTAAATATTTTATTTAGAGACAGGGTCTGGCTGAGTCTAAGTACCTCATTAATCTGCTGAGGCTGGCTTTGAACTCGCAATCCTCCTGCCTCAGCTCCTGAGTTGCTCAGATTACAAGCATGAGTCACCACACCTGGTGAGGGAATATTTTCTAATTCATCTATAGGACTGGCATAACCCTGATATAAAAGTTAGACAAGGACACTATACAAAAACTAAAGACCTGCAAATTCCATGATTTTGTCATTTTTAGTGCTGCGTAATATTCCATGGTGTATAATCATGGAATTTGAAGGGAAATGGATGGCACTAGAGCAGATTATGCTTAGTGAAGCTAGCCAATCCCTAAAAAACAAATACCAAATGTCTTCTTTGATATAATGAGAGCAACTATGAACAGAGCAGGAAGGAAGAGCAGGAAGAAAAGATTAACATTAAACAGAGACATGAGATGGGAGGGAAAGGGAGAGAAAAGGGAAATTGCATGGAAATGAAGGGAGACCCTCATTGCTATACAAAATTACATATAAGAGGTTTTGAGGAGAATGGGAAAATAAACAAGGAGAGAAATGAATTACAGTAGATGGGGTAGAGAGAGAAGATGTGAGTGAAAGGGAGGGGGGATAGTAGGGGATAGGAAAGGTAGCAGAATATGATAATTACTAATAGGGCATTATGTAAAATTGTGGATGTGTAACCGAAGTGATTCTGTAATCTACATTTGGGGTAAAATTGGGAGTTCATAACCCACTTGAATCTAATGTATGAAATATGATATGTCAAGAGCTTTGTAATGTTGTGAACAACCAATAAAAAAGAACATAAAAAAAATAAAATTCATTCCAGTGAAGGAAAAAAAACTAAAGACCAATATCCTTTGTGAATATATTGATACAAAAATTCTCAACAAAGCATTAACAAACCAAATTCAGCAGTTATACACCACAAGCAAGTGGGATTTCTTCCAGGAATGCTAGGATTTACAAAAATTGTCCAGATGTCCCAATAGAGGATTAATAAAACATATAAAAACTTAAAGGAGGTAGGTGGTATGGCGAGAAAGAGAAAAGATACCAAATGAAACATTGTATACAACTAGTCTAAAACTGAAGCTTAGCCCTGAGCTCAGAGGGGATCATCACTGCCTCAGTCTCTTGAGCCTGAAATCTGGAAGCCACCACACACTCCATCTCTTTCCCCTCTAATTAATGACCAAATCCTGCTGATTTGACATGCTATTTTTCCCCCCAAATCACTTCTCCTTTCCTTCTCCATCACCTGTGGCCCAAAGGTCAGCCAGGATGACATTACCTCTCCCTGCACTATGTCAAGAGTGTCCGACTGGTCTCCTTGCCTCTGATCCATCAGTTATCTTGGTCCAATCCATCCTGGTAATGCTATTCTTAGCCCAAACCCTTCAATGGCTCCCCACAACCAACTGGTAAGCCTTCTGGACCTGCCATTCCTCCCTGGCCTCATTTCCCATCATCCCTCTTACCATGCTCTACACTCTTTGTCCTCCCATCTCAGTGTCTCTGCCCCCATAAACTCGGGATTGTCCCACATACCTCATCTAACGTCCTCCAGGAAGCCTTCCCTCAGAGGAGGGGAGATGCTTAATGCATTGTGTTGAAATCGTTTCTTCTCCAGTTTGCAGCACCCACTGGACTCAGTTTCTTGAGGGAAGGTTTTGAGGCTTATGCATCTTTGTTACCTAAGAGCCTGGAACTTGTTTGAAAAAGATTTATTGAGGACCTACTGTATGGTGGGTAGCTTGGTAAAGAAGGCTGACAAGTTGCCTATCTCATGGCGCTGGTACTCCTGAGAGAGATGGAGGCAAATTCTGTGGATGAGCCAGATCCCACAGGAGCAAAGAGAAAGGAGCTTCCTTCTTCCCTTATCCTCCATATCCTCCCAACCCACTTTGATGAATCATGTCTTCCCGGTTCCTGCCTCTTTGTGGATAAATAAATAGATGCTCTCCTTGTTTTGGCTTTCAAAATCCCAGCTCCCGTGCACTGATTACATTTCCAGTCTTCTTTTAAATGGAAACATCTCCCTGCCTCCAGCTGGGGTCTGTCTGAGGTGTGACCAGACCTTCTCTCCACCCCTCTGCACTTGATATTGGATGGTGTTACAATGGTCTTGGCAATTTTGAAATCCAGAAAAGTGAATTAGGGACATGTTCAGTTTGGGATTCGTGACATATATTCGTGTGATTTCCGGTAACCTCCATATATAATGAAAGGATTTCCAGCTGTCCTGCTATAGGAACGGCTCCCAGGAATACTCTCTACCACTTCCTGGGCCAGTTCACCCTGAGTCATGAAACAGAGGCGCAGAACCACAGGTAGATAATGATATGAATGTCCTGTCACACCTGGGGCTGGGAACTTTTGAACAATGGAGGAGAAACAGGTTTGAAATGTATAGATTTAGCAGTTGGTTTGCAAAAAATCTTCTAATCACTTGACAATGTAAAACTGTAAGTGAATGATTCAGTACTCATTTGTCAAACAAAATCTCTCTCAGTAATAAATGTACACCATCAATGTCATATGAAGAAGCAATTAAAGCCTATGTTGACAAACATACAGGAAAAAGTATTATGGAAATGTGTCAGGCAGTTCATTTTCAGAAAATGTTATTTTTCTGAATTTGTGGTATCTGTCAGCTTTTAAAATTATCTAAATTTATTTTCTTATTTTAAATATTCACATTCATACCTCATTCCCCCCCCCCTTAAGTACCAGGGATTGAACCCAGAGACAATTAGCCACTGAGCCACATCCCCCAGCCCTTTTTATTTTTTATTTGAGACAGGGTCTCACTAAGTTGCTTAGAGCCTCGGTAAGTTGTTAGCCTCAAACCTCTGATCCCCACAACCAACTGGTAAGCCTTCTGGACCTGCCGTACCTCCCTGGCCTCATTTCCCATCATCAGACTCCCACACTGCTGGGATTATAGGAAGGCACTCCCACACCCAGCTTCAAACCTTATTTTATTAATAATTTTGTATTGTTCTTTTTTGGGGGGGAGGCTGGGGCTTGAACCCAGAGGCACTTTGCCACTGAGCTACATCCCCTTTTTATTTATCTTATATTTTATTTTGAGACAAGGTCATGTTACGTTGCTGGGGGACCTTGCTAAATTGCTGAGGTTGACCTCCAACTTGTGATCCTCTTACTTCAACCTCCTGATTTGTGATTACAGGCATGTGCCACCTTGTATTGTTCTTTAAAAAGTGCTAAATGTGGCATGGTGTCATGTCCCACAAAACCTGGATTCATCCCTTCCCAGGGATATGTATCAATCTTTTTTCCTCCCCACCTCCTTTGTTTTGTACTAGGGATTGAACCCAAGACCTCATGCATGGTAGGCAAGTGCTCTACTGTTAAGCTACATTTCCAGCCCTTTTAATTTTATTCTGAGACAAAGTGGGGCTGAATTACTCAGGCTCTCAGGGAACCTGTGATCCTTCTACTTTAGCCTCCCAAAC